GGGGGGGGGGGGGGGGGGGGGGAAATGAGATAGAAAGAAAAGAGATCGACACCAAAAACTACACTAATTTGCCCCAAACTCGAAACTACGTCCCGTCTTCTACAACGGCAGATCCTACCAAAATATCGAGATTACAAAAAGCCTCAAACTTTGTTACACAACATCTTTCAGTAGTCCAACAAAAGCTATCAATTTTCCAATATCATAACTCGATAGCTTGGATAAACAATTAAGAACAAGAGAAACGCTCTTTTTCTCTCGTAATCTAAACTATCCTTGGCTTTTTTCGTAAAAGTTAAAGAGATCACAAGGGGATTCATTATTGAGAGTAAAGGAAGGTGAGTTATTTGGGACAGAAATTCTTGGATTTGTGAAAGGTCATGACACCTCATGGCATGAGATGTTTGCTGCCTCCCCGGCATCGAATGTTTCATTATTTTTTTCACTTTGTACGAAGAGGATAAATGTTTTTTCCTCCTAAAGATACAAAAATGTTTAAATTGATTACAATTTGTTACTAGTTGAGTTGTTGTTTCATAGATTGAAGTGAAGTTTGTTATGATTATTGTTGTTTCAATCAATGTTTGGTTCTTTTTTTATTTGAATCGATCTAAGATGATGAAAATTGATAAAATCAAATCAAAATAAAATGCGAAGGACATGTTTTATAACAGTTGAAAAATAATAATATAGAATCGAGTTAACTAAGGGCAATGTCCCTATTAATCGACGGGCATTATAAAAAGGTCGAGATTTTTACTTGCTTAAGTTCACACTTCGAAAGGGAGGAAGGTTGGGTCGGCTAGGTTTCCTAGGAGACCAACATTCTAACATAAACACTAATTGGGAAGAAGATCACCACCTTACCACTAGATAAACTAGTACTTAAACACGTTCCGACCAATAGATAACCTAGAACTCGATCACCACTCGACCAATAGATAACCTAGTACACTTTCCTCGAGTGGTGGGCAAAAGTCATAAGACACCCTAACAATCCTTGTCTACTTAAGGACATTCAGGACCTCACGTTCATGATAAAATGGTGAGATCAACGAAAAAACGGATAAATTGTATCAAAATCATGCTAAAAATGGAAGCTTTCAAATAGTGGTATTCATATAACTCAAAAACTTGATCAACCCAAACTATAAAAACTGGGTCGGGTTAGATTTTTCTTCGGTTTAAGTTTAATTGAATTTTTAAAAATTGAGGCTGACCAACCAACCTAACTCGAAGATAGAAGATTTGGTTAGGTTGGATAGTGAATTCTATTAGGATTGTTCGAGTCAACCGAATCGGAGCTCAAGGCCCTATGAGAATTGGCTGGCCCATTGCACTAGGCCCAAAGTTAATCCATTAGCTCAATTCAATTCAAATATATTATTTATATTTTAAAATCTGCAGATTTTTATTTTTATTTTTTAAAATTAATTACTTAAAATATATATTTTTTATTTATAAAAAAAAAGAATAACTTGGTCGGTAATCCAGAATTAATTAGCCAATTAGCACTAAGAGAGAATTAATAAATTGATTGATTTTAACGTGTCAACTATAATTTCTTGCCTTTTATAGAAAGTCATTATTTGATGTATTTATGGGGTTGAAATATTATTATTATCAAATTATTGGACTAATTAGCCGAGGTTCGACTTTTCTCCTAACAATCCTCCCCAGGCCACGACTCAGAATTTGGATTTGGGACTTTGTGTATCCCGACATTCCCCTATCTCCCCTACAACATGAGTAAAGACTATCATTACCGACCAATACGAGCTCTTCCACAGCATGATTTGCCCTCACGTACAGTTACCCAAAGCAAAACATGCTTAACATGATTGGGCCACCAAAAAAGAAAGTGCACCTTGTTAGTATAGTTAGTAACTTTCAATTCTTTTAAATCTTTTTTATTCACTTTATCTCGTGATGGTTCTTATTCGTATGATATTAGTTCATTAAATATTTTATTAATAAAAATGCCTAAATTTTCAATTATATTCAAACGTACGTTGTACCTATTCATTATTTTTAAAAAAAATCAAAAAAAATCACAGATCTATTTAACACAAAATTTAAAATTTAAAATTTATTAAAAATTATATTATGAAATCAAATAATACATTTAAAAAAAATTTAAAACTAAACTAATAATTTAATTATATATAGAAATATATTGGAAGGAATCTTTTGGCCGTTTCAAACCGAAATGAATAGCCAACCATATGATTTTGACAGAAGTATTTCTTTTATTATTATTATTTATTTATTTTTAAAATTACAAAAATTTATATAAATTCGGTCAAAATTAAAGTTTGACTCGTCCTCTACGGTACATTTATAGATTGAACTGAACCATCGGTTGATTCATTAGAACCACAACTCGTTTAGCCACTCGTGTATTTATATATAGTTTTTAATATTTTAATGTAGTATACAATTTGAAAATTTTAAAAATAACATACTAAATATAAACTTATAATTTTATTAGATAATTAAATTTTAATATTTAATTTGCTAATAAATCTGATTAGAAGAACGAGACTCCCCACAGTGGTATGATATTGTCCATATTGTTCACTTTGAGTATAAGCTCTCATAGCTTTCCAATGCTCTAAATTAGGCGATATGGGACTTTCATCCAACACCTCCCCTTAATCGAGGCTCGACCCTTTTTCTTTGGGAGTCTTAGTCATTTTTGTTCGACTCTGTTATTTTATTATTTTTTTTTTTTTGCTTTCGAGGCTCACAATACTTTTGTTCAACATTTGAGGATTCTATTGGCGTGACCCTGATGCCATGTTATGAACACGACTCTCCACAATGGTATGATATTGTCCATTTTGAGCATAATCTCTCGTGACTTTGCTTTGAGTTTACCCTAGAGGTCTCGTATCAATGGAGATAATATTCTTTGATTATAAAGCCATGATTATTCCCTAAATTAGCCAGACTTTCATCCAACAAATTTGACTCAAATTCTAACCCAAAAATTGATCCAATGAGTCAAATTCAAGGATTGACTTTACCATTTAAGATGGATCAATATGAATTTAGAATCTAAATTCGGCATCCAATAGTCCCGACATTTTCTGCATCTATTGTGATATGGTTACATTACTTACTCCTCGCTTCTCATGATGAAGAAGCACACTTGGCCATGAAGTTCTTATGATCGAGCTACTGAAAAGGAGAGTGCATCTTGATGGCATAGGTTGTGACTTTCAAGTCTTTTTAGTCATCTTATTCTTAGGATCACTGTCATTCAGATGTGGTTTCGGTTTACTTGTATGTCACATATTCAAACTCAAATGAAAATTCAAACTCATTGGATTCGAATTTAGGTTGAGTTTGAGTCGGGACCACTGGTAATCGCTAAAATTTTAAAAATATTTTAAAAAAGATATGAGGAAATAAATGTATGAGCCACAAGAAAATATAGGGGCGTGATGCTTGGGGCCAAGGAAAAACAGAAGGGTATTACGGTCAAATTGGAAACACACAAAGAAAAAAAGAAGGGTAATACGGCAATGGTTCTGTCACGGTCTGAAATGGAGATGAATTATATGGTTCCCATGTCTATAAGCAAACAGCCATTCTTTTTCTTCCTTTCAATTCCATTCTACCATTTCACCCCACAACCTTTTCTCCACCGATATCCCAAATCTTGCTGAATTTCAGTTCTAGTTTGATCTTATCACGGCGGTTTCTTACCTCTTGAATCTTCGAGTGAATTGAGTTCAGTAGCACGCCGTCGGGATTTTGTTTCTCCGATCTTGTTCTACTTCCCACTTGTGTTCTTAGTTTGTCTCGGCAATGGCGAAGCGTGGATATAAGCTACGTATCCTTTGTAATCTTAAGTATTATGATTATTGTTTTTCTTTTGCTCAGACGTTTAAAATTAGCTTTAGTTTGATGATTTTCAATCGTTTTAGCTTTATCCTCACTGGAACCAGGTTTCTCAGGCGCTTAGAAGCTCCTTGAATCTAACCCATAATCCGATTTTAGAACTGAATTGATAGCACTAGGAATTTGGATGCTCATTTCTTATGTTCTATGCTTGATTTATCGCATATGGAGTAGAACATGTTTTCTGCTGAGGAGTTCAATTCAACTTCAATCTGTAGTGTTATGAAGAAACTAAAACGATATGAAGTATTTTCTTGACCTATTTGAAACTAGAGGAAATTGCGGCACACTCGGCTAATGTAAACTGTCTGAGTATTGGGAAAAAAGCTTGCCGATTGTTCATAACTGGTGGAGATGATCACAAAGTCAATCTTTGGGCGATTGGAAAACCCAACTCTTTGATGGTTCGTTGAATGCCTCCTCTTCCATCTTTTTTATACGCAATCAGAAAGTTGGGTTCTTATTTTTTGAATTTATTCATGAACTTATTTGATGTTTGCATAAAAGAATTGTATATTTGATGGCCAATTTTCAGACATTTTTTTTATCCTCACAATGTTCTTGATGATTATTCGCTTGTAGTTATGATTTCTCTAGTGATAGACTTGGAGTGTTTTCTTGTTCTTGTGCAGAGTCTGTGTGGTCATACTAATCCTGTCGAATCGGTAGCTTTTGATTCATCTGAAGTTTTGGTGCTTGGTGGAGCTTCTTCTGGTGCAATAAAGTTATGGGATCTTGAAGAGGCTAAAAGTAAGTTTACTCGACTAGTTTCTTACTTTTAAGAAATCGAATATTAAACTATTAGAGAAATGATGTGATTTAGTATTGTGTCGTGTTAATGAGTACCTACTTAAAACATGGTTTTCGTGATGGCTTGACTTTTCATTGTTCATTTATAATACCTTCAGATTTGCACCTTCAATTGTGAAGAAAAACATAAGATTGATTTCCTTCATTGATAACCTCTGATCTTTTGCAATGTTCTTGAAGTGCAGTAGTTCGCACTCTTTCTGGTCACAGATCGAATTGCACAGCAGTTGAGTTTCATCCATTCGGCGAGTTCTTTGCATCAGGTTCTAGAGACACTAATCTTAAAATCTGGGATATCCGAAAGAAAGGTTGCAGTCACACATACAAGGGTCACACTCAAGGCATTAGTACGATCAAGTTCACGCCAGATGGTCGCTGGGTGGTCTCCGGTGGATTTGATAGTGCTGTGAAGGTAATAACGAGTCACACTATTAAGTGTTGTAACTTTCTATTATCGTCATTATAATGGCAATAATTTAAGGCTTCTCTTGGATAGGTATGGGATCTAACTGCTGGAAAGCTCTTACATGATTTTAAGTTCCATGAAGGGCATATTCGGTCCATAGGTTTTCATCCACTCGAGTTTCTCCTTGCGACAGGTGGGTGAAAGAAAAATGAAGCAATTGATGCTTAAGTGGGAAGTTTCTTGAATACAAAACCATTAGTTTCTTGGTATACTGCTTGTATATATAATACGATACTCGCATATTCGAATTCTAATATTACCCGCTCTTTATCGCAATACCTCTCTGAGTAAAAAGTGACCGTGTCCAGGGTCAGCTGACAAAACTGTAAAGTTCTGGGATTTGGAAACCTTTGAATTGATTGGATCAACAAGACCTGAGGTATATCTATTCTTTAAAAAGAAAAACAAGTTGCCTTAGCTTTGCAATGGATGTTCAGTTTCTAGTGCTTCCTTTAGTTGCAGAGACTGTTAAGTTCCATGTTTTCTGTGCCGAACCTTTTTCAACCGTTTTTTTAGAAGTTATTTCATTAGCATATCTTTTATACAGGCTACTGGAGTTCGTGCAATCACCTTCCACCCGGATGGGAGGACCCTGTTTTCTGGTCTGGATGAAAGTTTGAAGGTGACGAGTGTTACTATTTCACAACTTTATGATACAGAATAAAGTGTTACTACCTCCAAACATGTATCGGCACATTAACGTTATATCTCTTTTCTCTGATACTGAAGGTATATTCATGGGAGCCTGTCATTTGTCATGACTCTGTCGATATGGGATGGTCAACACTTGGTGACCTTTGCATTCATGATGGGAAACTTTTGAGTTGCTCATTTTATCGAAGCTCTGTTGGAGTTTGGGTAGCTGACATATCGGTATACTAACCTATATCTTTTCAGAAACTTGTTCATATTGTATTTATGTACTGTTTTGTATTATTATTACACACTTATCTTTCAAGTATTCTCAATTCTAGAATATTGAGCCTTATGGAGCTAGTTCAGTATCTGGGCAAAAGCAGCCAAAAGAACAGAAATCTAATTCTGCTTTCAAGAACAGTTTAGCTTCAAAAAGCTTTGGAGCTGGTTTGATGACTTCAAATTTACAATCTCTGTCTCCTGATTATGAAACCAAGGAGATAAAGAATATATACATAGACAGTAAGTCCTCATCCTTTGTCTGCAAGGAGGGGTCGTGTTAGAGGTGTTATGCAATCCTTACATATGAGATATGTCTCTATTTGTGATGTATGTGACTCTTGGTATTATTTTCCTCAACAGACTTTGAATTGACAACTTCTTTGGGTAGAGTCATTTTTCGACACCGAGGAACAACTAATGATTTTGTGTGACATGTAGCTCACTTTGTGCATGCTTGTCTGCCTTCAAACATTGTTTTAAATCTAGTTTCTCGTCTCTTTTTTGTTTATGATAGCCACCGGTGGAAAGCCTGAGGCGGCATCTTTAAGCTCCCCAAAAGTTGTATTTGCATTGGGTTCAAAGGAGATTATCTATGATGCAAGCAAAAAGCAAAGTCCTGCATCAAGAGTAGAAACGAAATCTATTGAAGTATCAACGGTCAAACCCCCGGTTGTACCTTGTGATAGTCCTGAGGTTAAAGACTCCGCAAGCTCTATAAGGGAATCTATCACATTTTCCAAGACAAGACGTGGTATGTTACTCAGACCAGCTCATGTAAGAAAGCCATCAAATAGTAAAATGGATCTTGAAAACCTATCAGTGTCAGTTGATTCAAGTAGAAAAACTGATCTTGAGAGACTAGCAGTTGTAGATTCTGTAAATATCTGTCATACCACCAATGATTTGAATAAAGCTCCAGAACCGAACTTCGTAACACGGGTTGTATCGGAAGAAACACAAAAAGATTCTCATAGAATAAATTCTGATATCAGAAGTATCGAGACGTTTGAAAACATTCCCCGTGTGTCTTCTGAGACAACTTCAGAACAAGAAAGCTGTAAGATGTTGTCCTTCCCTTGATATTAAAATTGTTTATGTAGTTTTTCTCATGTTAATAGTATTTTCCCCCAAATTTGCAGGCAACAAACCAGTTGTTAGTAGAAAAGGGACAAACTCTGTTAAATTTGTAAATGGAGGTTTGTCATCTTTGACCTCTTAACTATTTGTCACTGACAGGAAATATCAAGTAAACGTGTGGGAAATTTTTGGTCTTATATCCTATTTTTGCAGTTGCAGTTGTTCCTGGAAGGACACGCACTCTTGTCGAGAAGTTCGAAAGGAGAGAACAAACTATTGATGTACAGACGACAATTTCACCATCTTATGTCCTCGAATCGGAAAAGACAAAGGAGCAAACTAATAGCTATGAAGCACAGGTGGTAACTCCTCAGATCCTTGAAACTGAGAAGTCACTCGAACAAGCTAATACCTATGGAGTACAGGCAGTGGCTATACCTTCTCACGTCTCCGAAACAGAGAAGGCGCGTGAACGAACTAATAACTACGAAATGCAGGCAGTGACGATTCCTTCGCACATCTCTGAAACTGAGAAGGCAAGAGAACGAACTAATAACTACGAAATGCAGGCAGTGATGATTCCTTCGCACATCTCTGAAACTGAGAAGGCAAGAGAACGAACTAATAACTACGAAATGCAGGCAGTGACGATTCCTTCGCACATCTCTGAAACTGAGAAGGCAAGAGAACGAGCTAATAACTATGAAATGCAGGCAGTGATTATTCCTTCGCGCATCTCTGAAACTGAGAAGGCAAGAGAACGAACTAATAACTATGAAGTACGAGCAATGATTACTCCTCGTACCCCAGAAACTAAGAGGATGACTACTAACTATGAAGCAAGAACAATAAATAACTATGAAGCAAGAACAAGAAATAACTATGAAGCAATGACAACTCCTGTCACTTCTCCTGTCCCTGAAACGGATAAAACAGACAATTTACAGGTATGGTTACTTTGTAACATAAATAGGCACTTAAATTATGATGACATCTGTTACATCATTTCATATGGCCATCCTTTTGTAAGACGAGTTTTAAAACCTATGAGATCCCACATTGATTTTCTTTTGTAAGACGCGTTTACAGCTGATTTTCTATGAGATCCTACGTCGATGGAAGAGGAGAACGAAACATTTTTTATAAGGGTGTGAAAACTTCTTCTTAGCAGACGCGTTTTAAAACCTTGAAGGGAAAGCCCAAAGAGGACAATATTTGCTAGTGGTGGGCTTGAGCTGTTTCATCTCCTTCTTCTTCTTTCTCTTTCTCATCTATCTTCTTAGTACTTAGAATTTTGGGTTACATTTGAAGTTATTTGAAATGCTATGCATTTGAGAAATTTTTGTGTTTCTGCTGGAAAATTGTTTCTAAGCTGGCAGAAAATTGCCAATGCCAAAGAATGCTCACAAATGCGAGTCAGATGAAGATACGTATTTAAATTGTTTGTTCAAACTAAGTAGTTCTGTGTTTTTTGCTTAATGGCAGAAAGGAGAACCTCAAGCTTCTGGAAGAGATTCTCCCTGTGCAAATGATAGGGATGTCATTGAAGACATAATGCAATCTCATGATGTATTCTTAAGTAGCCTTCGATCCCGGTTGACAAAACTGCAGGTAATTTTCTTTCTGCATGCAGATAATACAATGAACTGAACTGATATGAGACTATGAGATCCCACGTTGGTTGGAGAGGGGAACGAAATATTTCTTATAAGGGTGTGGAAACCTTTCCCTATCAAACGCGTTTTAAAACCGTGAGGCTGACGGTGATACGTAATGGGCCAAAGCAGACAGTATCTGCTAGCGGTGGGCTCGGACTATTACAAATGGTAATAGAGCCAGACACCGAGCGGTGTGCTAGCGAGGATGCTCGGCCCCCAAGGTGGGGCGGGAGGTGGATTGTGAGATCCCACATCGATTGGAGAGGAGAACGAAACATTCCTTATAAAGGTGTGGAAACCTCTCCCTACCAGACGTGTTTTAAAACCATGATGCTGACAGTGATACGTAACGGGCTAAAGTAGACAATATTTGCTAGCGGTGGGCTTAGATTGTTACGAACTACAACTGTGGCTTTTAACAGCGGTTTTCTTAACATTCACTTGGGGGGCGGGGGTCATTCAAAGGGAGAAAAAACAAGGGAAAAAACACAAGAAACATTGTATTTCACCGAAAAAGCATGCCGACTAATCAATGAGCTTGGTTTGAAAACAACTTTGTTCTGTGACTTTTACGTCTGTGAGGATTGGAATACAGCTGATAAATCTTAAAGGTTGTTTTTTTGGACCATTAACTTTTCTCGAACGTTACGTTCATATCAACGACTGTACTGCAGGTGGTACGACACTTTTGGCAGCAGAATGACATGAAAGGTGCCATCAATGCCATGACAAAACTCCCGGATCATTCTGTACGTATCTTTTGAGTTAGTTTATCCGTGTTGCTTTTTTATTTTATGCATCTTCAGTTTCACAAGCAACTAGTATCTTCTCGTTCTCAAATGGGGCTTTTCTAAGAACCATGTCATGATGCAGGTGCAAGCAGATGTGATCAGCGTTCTCATCGAGAAGATGAATGTCCTGACTCTAGATTTATTCTCGTGCCTACTTCCCGTACTCGTGGGTTTATTGGATAGCAAGATAGAAAGGTAAGACAATGGCATAATGCACGTCGAAAAAACTGCTAATTTCAACAGTTCAAAACTATCTACCTTAAGATTTAAGTTCTTATGTCTCACATTGTATCCATTAGGCATGCCAGTTTGTCCATGGAGATTCTCTTGAAGCTTGTAGCAGTTTTTGGTCATGTTATAACCTCAGCAGTATCAGCACCTCCAGTAGTTGGTGTTGATCTTCATGCAGAGCAGAGGTGAATACATCTCATTTTCACGACGTTTCGAATATGTATTAACCGAACTAAATATCGTGTTATCCGCTTGTATCTCAAACTCAGGGTACTTTGCTGCAAGCAATGCTTCACCCATCTGCAGAAGATTCAAAAAATTCTTCCATCATTTGCAAGGTATAATCATTTTCTTGAAGGGAAACTGTCGATCAACATCTCAACGTGAATCCCGAGCGCCCAATAGGACATTACCGCTCAAATAACTCATTTTTCCTGCATAATTTTGCTGCAGGAGAGGTGGTTCACTAGCAAGAAGTGCTCAAGAATTGAATCTGGTACTTCAACAATGTTAAGTTTCATTCACTATGTCAAATTTTTGGCAAAGAACAGGTAAATAGTTAGGCTGATACCTCCAATAGAAAGAACTTGGAGATGCAACACCTTTACAAGTTGAAGCCATCGGCCATGTCCCACAATTTTGTGATTCATGGAGGGTGAAGCCGAGCAGAAAGACAACGGAAAACCTTAGACGACGAACGTGAAGTCGGCAGGTCGGGTTCTTCGGACGGAACAATGGAAGCCCTCCTCATTTTGATTCTTCATATTCCAGGTATTGTTTGTATCTTCTAATCAACATCTTGTAAGTATGTGCCAATTCAAACATGTAATGCATGGAGATATTGAATTCAAGCATATGGGTAGAGCTGTTTGCTTCTGCTTGAAAGAATGTTATGTCGCTGATATGCCCTATGCCCAATTATGATTGTAGCAGTAGCAGTGGCACATAGGAAAGTTGATGAAACTTATTATGGGGAAGGCAACTAGAGATGAACATAGTTTAATCAATAACAACAAGGATAAAATTGGTTCTAAATGACAAAACAAGAGTGCCTAAAGTCCATAAGTCCAACTTGACCCGAACCGAGCCGACCTGAATTGGCTGAGTACCTATAACGTCTTACCTTTTGACTTCCATTAGCCAACATTGGAGTGTACGTGATAAATATCAGGATTTTCTTTGTTTCGCATGTCACTTATTTTTTTTTTTCTCAAAAACATAAATTAAGGGTGTCCAAATGACCTAAGAACCCGACCAACTCCAAGTACCCAACCCAAACCATAAAGATAGGGTTGAGTTAGGCTTTTTTTTTACGTTCTAAGTCGAGTTAGTTTGCAAATTGACCTTTTTTTTGTTGGGTTAACATGACCAATTCGAAAATAGGGTTATAACCTAATACAAAATTCGAATATTAGGAATATTTGACGTTTGTAATTGATCTTAATGATACGTTATGTCTTGTGAATGTTTGGTATTTGAATAAAATAATTAAAAAAAGACCACCCCGAACATCCCAACTCAACTAAGGTTTGAGTTGCTTGAGTCACCAACCCAATATCGAATTGGTCCAAAAGATTTTTCCAACTCAATTCATGTACATTCCTAACTAGACAACCTTCCTTAAGTTCGATTTTACCTGAAAAGATTGACCATCAAAGGAGCTACATATAGATGAATTTTCAATAAATCAAATACCAAAAATAATATAAGAGTCCAAATTAATTATAATTTTCTAAGGTCGAATTCATAGAAAGAAAGGATAATCCTTATCTTACATGGAAAGTAAAAAAAAAAAAAAAAAAATCTAAAATATATTCAATTCTTACCATATTATACCCCACTTATCTTAGAGAAAGTAATAAAAATACTTTGTCAAAAAAATATCTTTAAATTTAAGAAGAAAAATAAAAAATACCGGGACAAAACTTTATAAAAAATTAGTTTTAAAAGATATCATCAGATTAAACTTTATAAAAACTATAAAAAAAAAAATTTACTATCAATATATGGACAGATCTCATCTATCGACCCCTCATAGATTATCTCGCTTTTTAAAATTTTTGAATCGAGATACTAATGAAGTTTTTAAAAATAAAATATTAATGGTAGTGTAGTATTATCAATTAATCTATCTATATCTATATATATTCAAATAAATATGTTTTTTAATGGAAAAATTAAATACTATAAATTTTTTAAAAAGGTTAAATTATTTGTTTTGAATTTAGGTAATTATTTATTTATTTATTTATTTATTTATTTTGCTCTTCAAACCCCTATTAAAAGCAACGAGAAACCCCAATTCTCGCGATCACCAATAAAACCCCAAAATCCATTACTCACAAATAACCAATTTTTGTTTACCAAATAAAAAAAAGGATGAACTGAACCCTCAACCTACCCATCACCGTCCTCGCCCTTCCAAATCCGCTAATTCGCACACCGGAAAACCATCTTCCTCCGTCAATACCTCTCCCTTAAACCGCTTTTCGCTTTACTTTTGAAGACCAGCTAGGGTTCCGGTGACTAATACGGAGCGAATTCGTTCGTCGGCGCTTGTGAGAGAAATATGGGAGCGGAGGCGATACAAAAGCGGTGGGATACATGGGAAGAACTTTTATTAGGAGGAGCCATACTCCGCCACGGAACCACCGACTGGAACCTCGTCGCGGCGGAGCTCCGGGCACGGATTGTTCGTCCGTGCGCCTATACCCCCGAGGTAACTGCAATCTTTTTTTTTTTTTTTTTTTCCTTAATTATTTTAAACAAATAACACGAAGAAATCGTGTAATTTTCCTCGCAAATTTCAGCTAATTTATTAAATAAATTTAATAATTAAAAATTAAATTTTAAAAAGAAAATTAAAGATATTTGATTATCGAAAAAAAGGATGTAATCTGATTCCTCTGGTGTTCGTTATTATTATTATTATTTTATTCCTTACAAAAAAATAAATAAAATGTGTTGACCTGTTCAATTCAACCATTTGAACAGCGTATTTATTTATATATATATATAATGAATGTTTATAAATAATTTTTAAAAAATTGGTATGTTCATATTTGCAGGTTTGTAAAGCCAAGTATGAAGATTTGCAGAAACGTTTTGTTGGATGCAAGTATGGGCAAAGTTTGGAATAACTTTCGATTAAAATACTTCTGAAAGAAAAAAGTTTTTATAGAACTATTTTTTGGAGAATAAATTATAAAAAATTCTCAAAATTATGTGTTTGGAATCTGAAATATAAATTGTTTGTTGGGTATATCATTAATAGAGCTTGGTATGAGGAGCTTCGGCGGCAACGAATCATGGAGCTAAGACGAGCTCTCGAGCACTCTGAAGACTCGATAGGGTTAGTATTATGTTTTGTTGCTCATAAACGCTAATGTTTTGATTTGAAATTGTGAGATCCTATATCAGTTGGAGAGGGGAACAAAACATTCCTTATAAGGGTGTAGAAACCTCTCCCTAAGAGATACGTTTTAAAACCGTTAGACTGACGGTGATACGTGAACAATATCTACTTGTGGTGAGCTTGGGCTGTTACATATACTATCAGAGCTAGACATCGAGTGGTGTGTCAGCGAGGACGCTGGCCCCCAAGGGGTGGATTGTGAGATCTTAGATCGGTTGGAGATGGGAACTAAGCATTCCTTATAAGGTGTGGAAACCTCTCCTTAGTAGATACCATTTTAAAACCATGAGGCCGGTCATACGTAACGGGCCAAAATGGACAATATCTGCTAGCTGTGGGTTTGAGTTATTACAAATAGTATTAGAGCCAGACACCAAGCGTTGTGCCAACGAGGACGCTGGACCTCCAAGGGAATAGATTGTGAGATCCTACATCGGTTGGAGAGGGGAACGGAGCATTCCTTATAAGCACTGCCAACGAAGATGTTGGGCTCCCAAGGGGGTGGATTGTGAGATCCTACCTCGATTGGAGTTGGGAACAAAGCATTTCTTATAAGGGTGTGGAAACTTCTCCCTAGTAGACGCGTTTTAAAACGATGAGGTTGACGCCGATACGTAATGTGCCTAAGTAGACAATATCTACACGCGGTTTGGTTTGCTTTGCTTCAATTCTATGGTAACTAATAAGGTTGAATAGATTTCAGGTCATTGGAATCAAAGCTTGAGGCTCTTAAGTCTAGGAGTGGAGACAAGTCTCTTGTCAATAGCTCTGATAGATCAGAGTCTTGGGGAGTTGTTCATAAACCAACAAATGAGCTATCTGCTGGTAGCTTTACACAGGAAAACCGAACGTGCAGCTCGGTCGAATGTCGGTCAGCTCCGTTTTTGGCTGACGAGACGGAGATTAAGCCGGAAGCGTCGCAGTTACGGTGTCTCGAATGGGGCAAGGTAGGAACAGTGAAGAAGAGATCAAGAGGGAAGAGAAAGAGGAAGGATTGTAGTAGTAGGGATGTTAAGGAAGGAAGTACCGGTGAAAATAACTTGTCTGAATCAGCTAACCCTTCAACTGTTTCTCATTCTAAAGATAACTCATGCTGCAACTCGTTCGAGCCACGTGAATCTTCTGATGCAAATGAAGCTAGCAGAAGCTCAACCATGGACGGAGTCGATGTTGATGTTCTAATGGCTGCTTTTAACGCTGTTGCCGAGAACAAAAGTGCCGCGGTATTTCGTCGACGCCTCGATAGTCAGGTACAATGCAACAAAGATACTCTTCCTTTCATTGAATTGTGTTCATTGCTGATGACCATGTGAATATGCAACAGAAGAGAGGAAGATATAAGAAACTAATACGGCAACATTTGGATATTGAAACAATAAGGTCAAGAGTTGCAAGTCAGTACATAACAACGCAAAAGGAGCTATACAGAGACCTGCTGTTGCTTGCTAACAACGCCCTCGTTTTCTACTTGCCGAACACGCGGGAGTATCGGTCTGCAGTGCTTCTCAGACGCCTCATTACGAATACATTTCAGAAGCTTTTCAAAAACTCCCACGACAAAAGAACACAAACACGTGATCAGATGGCAAAACTGCATCGTTTGCAACCTGCTAAACGTAATGAATCTAGAAAAGAAGTCAATCCAGGGGATGCCAAAACTCCTAGTGGGAATAGAAGGAGAAGTAATGCTAATTCTCATTCCTCAGTGGGATTAGCGAAGACAGAAACTTCGGCTTCGACAGTAAAGAGAGAGCCTCGTGGGACGAGAAAGAGTGTCGTTGGGACGTCGAAAAGTGAACGGTCTGCAGCAACGGTCGCTCGGGGAAGAAAACGAGGGAGAGCGAAGTAAACGGTAAGAAATTTTGAAGTTTACTGTTGTAGATTCTGAGCTAGAACTTGTAAGTTGATTGTAAACCAGGTAGCTTTAGGCTTTAGAAAGATAGTGGGAGTGAAATGGAGTACTCATTGTGTCATTTCGTTAGCTTGGAATGATTTATATTTTGAGTTTATCTGTTTCAAACAAAGCAAATGGAATGTGTTTCGATTGATGAAGAACATGAAACTCATTTTAGTGATGCAAAATTTAGAATAATTGAACTAGCTTTTGTTTTATTTAATAATCTTGACATCTCACCTGGAGGGGGAAACTTCTTCTTAAAGGATTCATTTTAAAATTGTGAGACTGACGGCGGTAACGACCAATGCGGACAATATTCGTTAGGAGTGGGCCTTTGGAGCATTAAAAATGGTAGATATGTAACCGGTTAACGCAGACCGGCATTACATATGATATCAGAGCCCAACATTGGGCGGTTGGACGATATGTAATGGCCTAACGCAGTGGGCTCTTAAGACATTACAAATGGCAGTGGGCTCGAGACATTACAAATGGTATTAGAACCGGTGATTGGGCTTGAGACATTACAAATGGTATTAGAACTCTATCTCACCTTATTTTGAGAGAAACCTTTTTCAAAACATATTTTTAAACCGGTGATTGGGCTTGAGACATTACAAATGGTATTAGAACTCTATCTCACCTTATTTAAGAAACCTTTTTCAAAACATATTTTTAAACTTGTTTTATATTTTTTAAAAAATTTAAACTTCTAAAATTAAAAAATTAATAAAAAAATAATTTTATTATTTAATTCATTTAAGTACAGGGAATAATTAGCTATAACTCAATAACAGTAAATTCCATGCATGATTGCCACGTGTGTCACAATGATCCATGCATGATTGCCACGTGTGTCACAATGACCCTGTCCAGGTCCACGCTGTCTTGCATTTCTGTTCTACACTCTTCTTTTTTTAAATTATTTACCAACCAAATATAAATATTAACTAATTCCTAATATTTTATAATTTCAACAATTTAACGTCATCAAGGTGCATGACAGTTAAAAGATGTACGGCACACGTGCATGACAGTTAAAAGATGTACGGCTACGATTTTCTGACAGCTGTCAGGTCCAAGATTCGCACACGTGACATGCATACGAGGTTTCATTTTAATATTATCAATAATATTCCTCTAATTCAAATCAAATTAATTCAATAGCATATTAGCATCATAATCAAGGTTTCTCCTGCTTATTCAAATAATTACCTACTAATTATATTTTATTTTAATTTTTTTTATTATCTGGTCTATTTATTTTGTATTATTATTATTATTATTATTATTACCTGGTTTAAAAAGTTCCTCTAAACCTGAAAATATAAGAGTATTTTTTAAAATAAATATTAATGATTTTTTATTATTTCTCTTTATATATATATAGTTAAAAGAGTATTATATATATATTTTAATTATATTAATAGTTTTTAAAAAAATTGAAATAAAATAAAAGATTTTAAAATATGTTAGCATTCTCACTGTTGAGTACTATTAAGGAGAGGAATACATCTTTATTTGGTATGAGTTGGAACCAAAAGTAAAAGTACTAAGCCCATACTTAAAATGGATAATGTCGTACCATTGCGAGTCCTTTTTATTTTCATTGCCTGTGCTGGTCAGTATTTAGCCGGACTTTTTTTTGTTCCAATGAATCGTAGATAAAATTATTGATTGTATTTGAAAACATAAAATGTTTTTGAAACAAAAAAATCATAAGAAGATTTATTATTTGATTCCTAATACAGAAAAAGATGATATAGGATCAAGGTGCCATTCCTTACTATTATTCTTTATTTTAGTACTTTACTAGAATAGAATTAAAAAACTTGTTAATTTTTTAATTAAAATCAGTCCTCTCTTCCTAATCTTGGCTTTGATGAAAATAAGTAACGTTCGAATTTTCATGATTCTTTTCTGATCCGATCTTTTTATTATTTATTACTAATGACTTATTTTTGTCTTCGACAAAAGGTCAATTTATATGCAATAATTGCATGGTAGCGAATATAGTTGAGTGGTAAAAATGAGATTCTTTCTATTAATCCCTTAATAGTTAATTGGTAAAGCTACCATCATTTCCATTTATAGTAGTAGGTAACTTAATAATTTGAAGCAGCAAGTTAAAGGATTGGTAACGCTACCATCATCTCCATTTATAGTGGTAGGTAACTTAATAGTTTGAAGGAGCAAGTCTAATAAATAATGTACACAAATTTTAATAGGAAATAGATATACTTCTTGGGTTGATTGATGCAAAATGTGTTTTTGCTTCCCTTAAAACGTGGCGCTTCCTTCTATTTCGTTCTTGACTCACTCCTTTCACCTCTCTCTCTCTTTCTCTTACTCTGTTTCTCGGTCGTTCTCATTTTTTTTTGCTCATCGACCCCTTTCTTTTTCCCTTTTCATGTTTTCTGTGATTCTTCACTGTTTTTGATCCACTGGGGCGTGACCCTTTACTGGGTTTAGCCAAGGATCTCTGTTATTTGCATTTGGCGTTTCAGCTGGACTTCTACAGATCTCTGTAACTGGGAATCTTGAAGGTAAATTTGTAGTTCTTGGGTCGATTTTGTATGCAAAGATCTGGCCCCACTGCCCATTTTTGGACCTGGGGTCGGGCCCCCTTGCATGGTAGGGTCTGTTCGTAAGTTTGGGTTTCGAAATGGGGAACAACTTTGAGATTTAGCATGCCTTAATCTTCCCATTTTCTGAAGCTTTCTTCGTCTTTGATTTAGGAATTTGGATCTTGTGGGTTCTTTCTTCTAATCCTCATAGATTAGCATCTTAAATGAATTGTGGGTATTATCATGAGATGGATGGCAGATATTGTCCTCTTTGGTCAGTTTGGTATTGCTGTCCGTCTACTAGTAAGAGGTTTCCACACCCTTACGAAGAATATTTCCGTCACTCAAGCCTGTGCATTCTGCATATGAAGGGGACAGGGGAGTTGCTGCGTGCAAGCTTCTCTTGCTTTGTTTCATTCTTATCTCAGCTGTCCATGATCATGTGACCATCCATTTTACATTTAGTCTTGGATTTGTGTTGGGGTTTCCTTGTATATAACAAATTATTGTTCTTAAGCTTGTTGAGCTTCTGTTGATTGGATTGCTTTTGCTTTGGTTACTAATGATGTGATTTCATCTTGTTTGTGTAGTTATGGTGGCCTCTATGAACTCAATATAGGAGGGGTTGATGTCTATGAAGCCACATAAATCATGGGACATGTTCAGAGAAAGGATAGGAATCTACCTTCTGATGGGGTTTGTTCATTACTTTTTGCTATTAGGTTTTAGGTTTAGTGGAACTATGCTTTGAACTTTTCGAATAAGATGTACCCATTCTGCCTATGCGATGTTTGGTTTTCTTCGAGTATCCTAAGCGTACGATGGTTGTGTAGGGCAAATACGGCTTCAAAATGAAGCAGCTTCCATTTATGGGTGTTATTTGTACTGTAATGCTGTTCATTGTATACAGAACTACAAATTACCAATATTATCAGACAAAGGTAAGGTTGTTTTCATTGTATGGGAATTTTATGTTTGTTTGGAACAGCTGAAATCTGATATTTCCGTGAGATCCCATATCATTGGAGAGGGGAACGAAACATTCTTTATAAGGGTATGGAAACCTCTCGTTAGTAGACGCGTTTTAAAAATCTTGAGGGTAAGCCCGGAAGAGAAAACCCAAAGAGAATAATATTTGCTAATGGTGGGTTTGGGTGGTATAGAGCTAGACACTAAGTGAGGAGGCTGAGCCTCGAAGGGGGGTGGACATGAGGTGGTGTGCCAGCAAGGATGCTGAGCCCCGAAGGGGATGGATTGGGGGGTCCCACATTGATTGGAGAGGGGAATTAGTGTCAGCAAGGATGCTGGGCCCCGAAAGGGTGTGGATTGTGAGATCCCATATCGGTTGGAGAGGGAAACAAAGCATTCTTTATAAGGATGTGGAAACCTCTCCGTAGCAAATGTGTTTTAAAAACCTTAAGGGGAAGTCCGGAAGGCAAAATCCAAAGAGAACAAGATATGGTAGCGGTGGCCTTGGGCTGTTACAAATAGTATAAAGCAAGACACCTGGCGATGTGCCAGCGAGGAGGCTGAGCCCCGAAGGGGGGTGGACACGAGGCGGTGTGCTAGCAAGGATGCTGGGCCCTAAAGGGGGTGGATTGGGGGGTCTCACATCGATTGGAGAGGGGAACAAGTGCTAGGGAGGACGTTGGGCCCTAAAGGGGGTGGATTGTGAGATCTCATATCGGTTAGAGAGGGAAACAAAACATTCTTTATAAGGGTGTGGAAACCTCTTCCTAACATACGCGTCGCGTTTTAAAAGTCGGGAGGGAAATGTCACCTTTGAGGTTCTCATCTGTAGTGAATAGATCATACACAGATACTCATCCAGTTTGGTCTATAAGTTCAAGCTATACTTAACTCTTTTTCCCTCTACAGATTGAAACAATCTTGCAGCCCTTCGAGAACGCAAAGGTAAAAATTCTGTCATTCCTGCCCATGTTTGACGATATCGGTTCCCTCCCTGCCTCCCGTTCCTGGGTTAAAATTACCATTCTCGTGATTATGTTTAGTATTTAAATTTTATTCAGTAGTCAAGAAACTTTCTTGCTGTATGTACATGCTTGAATAAGGAGCATCGAAAATAAATTCTCACCATCTTCACCAATTCTTGTAAATGCCCTTTTAGGACTTCATAGAGGAGTCTAGAACCTTGAATGAATTGCCTCGTGGCATAGTAGAAGCTAGATCAGATCTGGAGTTGAGACCTCTATGGGGAACTAGTAGTTCGAGGTTACAGGTTGAGTTCTATTGCTATTTTGTTTCGTAAGGCTTATACTACAATGTGTTCTAGGTTGAGTTGTATCGCTATTTTGTTTCGTAAGGCTTATACTTATACTACAATGTATTCTAGTAGTTCATGTCACGCTCGTATAAATTTCAGGCTCATGATCACAGCAACCGTAATTTGCTCGCAATGCCAGTTGGCATTAAACAAAAGGATAATGTTGATTCTATTGTACAGAAAGTATGATCTTGCTATCATTTGATATTAATCATATTCATTGGAGTTATTCTGTATCTAACTCCATTCATTCCAGTTTATTCCAGAGAACTTTACTATTATACTCTTTCATTATGATGGCAAT